TGCTAAACTAGCAATTGCTTTCTAAACAAGCCAACATTAGTGATGATGGCTATGCCGGTAGCAGGACTTAGTTATAATATTATTGCTACAAAACTATATGATGAAGTTGGAGATTTTGTCAGCTGTCGAGCTGTCAGTATCGAAATGACAAAAGAAAATCATGATGAAACATTTTTCACAGTGTAGTGAATCCAGTGTACAAATTTCACTTTTTGAATTGAACCACTCAAAAGAATTCACTTTTAACTGCTTTATCTCTTTGATTGACACCTGTATGTAAAATTCACTCTTGCAATTTGAATGTCTGAATTTGAAACGTCAACATTGCTTGACTTTTAAACGAGGGACCACAAAGGTTCTCTATTATGGATTCCAGTCTTTGTCTGCAGGCCAATATGTTTTCCTGTCACCCAAAAAGCATTTTCAGAGCACTCCCGGTGAATTAAGAGAATTTAAAAAAAAAAGGTACATTTGAGCAAGTAGTGGAACCAATTTCTGCAGCCACTAGTTTCATCCACAATGATAAGCTGAAATTGTAAATAAAACAAGACACCAAAGCCAATTATTAACTTTCATGTACCCTGTACAAGAAGAGGGGGAAAAAAAAGAAAAAGATGCCAAGCGGGCGCCTTTCAATCTATTGCAGACAAAAGTGGGAAGCGGCTGTCACGCTGCGTGGCGGCTCGCTCCTCGCCGGCGCGCGGCAGGCAGATTAAAAGCGGCGATGAGCATGCTGCGATGGAAACCATTTTGCCATGAAAAGTGCGTCTTGTTCAGCCCCTCTGCCACCGACTTGATGTGAAAGCTTCTACTCAGCGTCAAAAGAGCCGAGTCAAACAGCGCAGGCATGCGGGCCCAAGGAGGAAAGTGGACTTCCCCATTGGAGCCAAATTAACCGTGGCGATAATTGTTCAATCATTTCAAGCTCGAGGTCTGCTTTGATGACGCCATGCCGACCCCGGTGTTGCATTACGTGGAACTTGAGGATCCTCAGTGAGTCTGAAGCGTGCCCACACTCGCCGGTCAGTGGAAACTGTCGCTCAGAAATCAAAAGTCCAAGAACATACTTGGACTGGATGGGTGAGTGCAGCTTTTAGCACTACTCTACCTCTTTGTGTTACACTGTAATATAGGAACACAGTTTGGGGGTCATTTGCTGTCATTTATTCCCCCCCCCCCCCCCCCCCAAACACACACACACACACACAGCTTGCCAGCCATTACTTTAACTCAACGTGGTTTTTTTTTCCCTGTCAATCAGTTGCTCTCAACTGAAACAACATTGTACTGGCTTAGCGCATAATACTTGGTTTTCCAAGTACCACTATTATGAGCAACATTAAAAGTCAGTAGCGCAGTAGGCCTATGTGTTAATAAGAAAACAACAGAGACAGGTTACATTTAAAAAGTAGAATATTTAATATTATTGTAGGACAGTGTAAAACTGCACAATTTGAACTTTAAAGGGGAAGTCAAGTCAAAACTTTTCTGTACAATAAATGTTCTATGTGTCCCCACTAGTCTACAGACGACATTCTGATGAATATTGCATTTATGGGACATGATTTAAGCAGCAAAATCCACACCGTTCTCATGGGGCGGCCATTTTGCCACTTGCTGTCACCGTTACTTAGGGCTCATATAATGGCTCACCCGTTTTCTGGGTTTGGTCATGTAACTTTAGCAAGCTGAGCCATTCATCGAACATACTATTGTAAAGGAAAATTTTGACTTAACTTCCCCTTTAAAACTGCACATAAATATACACAGGCATATATATATATATATATATATATATATGTATATGTGTATATATATATATATGTATATGTATATATGTGTGTGTGTGTGTGTACATATATATATATAATGCGTGGCAGAACATTACTGTTCAAAAAAAAACATTAAAACTCTATTCGTATTTTTTAGGCTTTGTGTGGGGGGGGGTATGTATGGGTGTATTTTTATTGATTTTTTTTTTTTTTTTTTTTTTTTGTAATTAAAAAAGATGTGATGTAGCCCTGAACACCGTATGTACAAGTATACTACTCCCGTTGATATCCGTTTCTCCCCTGATGCCTTATTGCACCTGTATGGTGTCCTGTAACTCGCCGAGTGCTGTGTTTATGGTGATCTATCACGTTTCTGCGCAAGCCCCGACAGCCTGAGCTCTTGGTCCGGCGCCAGTATCCGATTGGCCGGGCAGCAGCCGGGCGGAACGGTGATGAGTGACGGCGAGTCGAAGAGCAGGCTGAGTCCTCAGCTGCCCGCGACCGCGCCCGCTAGAGCGCGTGATGCTTGTATTGATCTCAGTGATCAGCTTGGCAGGAATGCAGACGTTCCTCGGTGTCTCTGAGCCTCCCCAACCTGCCCCCCCCCCCCGACCCTCCCCTCAACAATGTGCCGCGACCTGCCTCGTCGCACATCTGTCTGTTTGCCGTCTTCCTTTTCCGTTGCACGGCGGCCTTAGATCATCTCCTCCTCTGCCACGCTTGACTTGTGCTTGCCTGGAAAGAAAAAAAACAAGTCTTTCGCCTGCCTTTATCACTGCCACTTTGATGTTTCAAGTGTGATTCGCTGTTGAATGGCGTCTGCTTTTCCTTGATGCCGCTGACATGAAAAGCAGGCGGAGGGCCTCTTGGGTTCGTCCCACGGCCCCTGATCCAAGACTAAAACGGTTGGCCCCGCGGGATACGATTACCCGGGAAAAGGGAGGCGCGAGACATTGAGGCCTCCTCAGGCATGACATCCACTTTTGCTCCAACTTACATGAAACTTTTAACGGGCGCTGATTGAATTATGACTCAAAACCATTTAGAGAATAGCTCTCCGCCAAGCCGTTAACAAAAGTCCGACCACATCTAGCCAGTGGCAGTTTGTGCAATTAGCAGCGTGCACTTTGACAAGAATGAGGCAGTCGATACATGTTTTATTTTTTTTTTTTTTTTTACATTTTAAAACAGTTCCCATGAATCTAAGATGAGCTTTAGGTCCAGCCTGATCTCATGCAATTTTTTTTTTAAACTTTTGGAAGCAGCTGTTTATGCACAACACTGCGTGCATGTGACGGATGAACATACGTCTTGACACTCCTTGTGTTGAAAGCAAATCTCGCTCAAAAGTATTTTTTTCATTATTCGCTTTAAAATTCACCTAATGCGGATTTTTTGTGCTCAGGCCGAAGCAATAAGTGAATAAGTATTGCTTTGCGGCCATCTTGGTGCCAAGGGACTATGTTGAAGTAAGTTGTAGATATTCACTGTGACAAAAGTTGCGCTTGGCTGCCATCTTGTGGCGTCTGTAGACAAATATAAACCTTTTCGGGATTTTCTCTTTCGCGTTCTGCTCCCTTCTGCGCTGTACAGCTGCAAACAATGTAGATCAATTGAATAAAAAAAAATATAATAACCTTTAAAATCTCAAGAGTTTTTAAGAAATTTGCAAACTCATGGGACGACAATTCTACTTAAGCCACGCCAACAAAAGCTTTATTTCTTTATTTAGTTTCCCCCTTTCCCATTCCTCAAATGCTTTCTCGAGTGTTCAAATTGTGTGAGTAAAAGCCAAATAGTTGAAAAGTGTCTACACCGGGCTTGAGGCTGAACAAACGCCGTGTGTGGCGGGATCGTCGACTGGCTGAATAGACACCTGCGTTTGTCCCGAGCGCGCAGCTCGCTACAGGGATTTAGGATCTAATAGTAGACCCTCAGCCCCCCCACTCCACTGCCAAACTCAACCCACACCCTCTGTCCTTTTAAAGCCTATTGATCCAGATAATCAGGGACAGAGTTGGGGGAGGACTTGAGGTTGTGACAGACGCTTTGAAAGAAACGGCGGTGGATAATTGAGGGAGGCCTTAAAGGCCACAATGGTGACGGCTCACGTCAGGCTTCACGCGACGGGCCTCGCGCACCTCTCTGATGGTTCTTTAGTTCGTCCGGATGACACGCTAACCGCGGAGATCAGCTCGTGTTATTCGCAGCGAGACAATGAGTGTTTTTTTTTTTTTTTTTTTGTGGGGTTTTAGACAACCACCGGTGAGACATCTTTCGAGGTAAACTTAGAATTGACTTGTTTGAGCTTGTGCTCATTCATTGGAAGCAAACTCCAAAGCTTAACTCATCGCAAGGAAAGACATTTAGCAATCTGTCAATGGCTACGTCTCATTCGCTAGTGCCTAATGACAGCAAAAGTTTTTTTCCAAAGCACTTCTCCAATGGAAATGGGCAGGTAGCCATTCGGAAACATCCAGTCTCGAAATGGATGGGTATCGGCAGCGGCAGTGTCTGGCATGTGCAATGCGTGCGGCTGCACAGGCTGGCATTTCTGTCCGCTGCCACAAAAGTATTTTTGTGAAGCGGGTTTCTCTTGGCATCGTCACGTGTAACTGATTGGCCTTTGTGTAGGGAATTTGTGCCGTTTGTGGAATCGTCCTTTGTCAGAGATGCAAGGCAAGATGGTGGCCGGGCAGTTGATAGTTGGGAAAGTGGTCAGTCAGGAGAAGGTCAAAGCCATCAGGCGCTCAATTCTGAAAGATAATATGGAGAAAGAGGCAAACAGAGCAAAGGGGTGCAGGTTTAATAACAACGATAGGTTATGGTGCAGCAGGGTGGCCAAAGGACGCTCGTCGAGCTCGGACTGCCACTGGCTATTGACTTCGATCAGTTGTGTTGCAAGGTAGCTCATGGTGACAATATACTCAAACAAAAAAACTGCTAAACCATGGAGGAGGGTGAATGCCAATTCACATTTTCATTATTAATATTCACATTATTTTCATTTTCGTTGGGGTTTCAACATTGCAAAATGCATGTTATTGCAATTTTATGGATTTCTAACTGTAAACATCCTCATTGTTCAATGACGGGCATTCATTGTTTGCCATTTTTATCCTCACAAAAAATTGTCATTTTTGTTGTTTTTGATAAAAGGGGAGGAATAAAAAGTCCAAATTTATTGGACCTTGAAACTATGTTAAATTTTCCTGCTTTCCTGAAAAAAAAAAGTGGCAATGGAAACAATTTAACCCCCTCCCCTTAAAAAGCCACATTTTTGTCCAGTTCTGCATATAAAACGCAAAAGTTGGATTTATGTGCTTTTCACTGGACAGTAAAGATATGCTAATTTCTGTAAATTATGAGTATTAAGTCAAATAAATTAACTGTCATAAGACCTGAAAGAAGTGAAAATACAGTCGCTAAACATGTACGTACAAAACAAAAAACTTTTTTTTTCTTCAGCTTTGCTTTCACAAAAAAAAAAAAAAATAGGACATAGATGGTTGTCATTGGACATTGACAATTAAATTGTTAATGCTTAATTATGTTAATTTAATAAGTGATTGAAAAGGTGATAGTGGTGAAATTATGTTAATGCAGTTCAAAAAAAACTATGCAGTTCAAAAAAAAATGTTTTGGAGGCCAGATTAACTAAATATTCGGTGTTGAACTAACCCAAAAAAAGCCTGATGCTTCAGCGTTAGTTTGTTCGCCATACAAATGATTTCTCCACACATTTTTTGCCCATCTAAATGATAACAAGCTTTTGCCACCTCGGTCTCTTAAAATGTCGGGCAGCAGTGACGTGGATCAACAATCACATGACACCCGAGCCGTGACGGGATAAGATCTGACATGAAGGACTTTGCCAACATTACGATTTGCTCTCCCGACCATTTGAGCCGTGAAAAAAAAAAAAAAAAGCGGCAGTTGTGCTAAATGTCGTGCGGCGATGAATGGTAATCATCAATTAAGAATCGTCAATGGAATGTAATTTTCGGGATGGATAAGATCAACGTCTAATGAGAGCCTAAGTGAAGCCGGGCGCTGTTAATGACATGTCACATTTTCATACTCATCCGACTGAGGCTGACTGCCTTCATTTGGCTGTAATTCATTAGACAAATGTTGAATCACTGTGCAAACACACACACACACACACACACAAACACTGCACACTTCCTTTGCCGTTTGCACACATTTGAATGCTAAAAAGACATACAGGCTGTAGCACAGATAATGTGTTAGCATTGATTGAATGATTCTTTAGGAATGTTGCTGTCCATTATTGCGTGTTTTCTTGGGGGAGGTGGGGGGACTTTATGAACAGATTGTACATAATTTACAAACTACACGTAAACAGCATTTGCCTTAAGCAGTACGAGTAGGATCCAGTTCCTCGTGCATTTGAGAAAGATTGGTTGGAAACTGTGGCTGGTCGACAACTTAAAACTCGCTAACTGGGCCATCTTGTGTCAAATTACCGTTGAAAAACCGATCGGGGGTCTTCCTAAGCTACGGTGCGGTTGATCCTTGAAAGTGGAGTGAGAGCATTGCGGAAAGCCTAATCCGCCTCCGCCAAGGCGTTAAATCGGTGTTTGAACAGGTGCAGATGAAAGGGCCACAGGTGAGGGGCCGAGGAATGACCACCTTGTGACTCATCCCCGCGCTCTGACTGGTTGTCTCTTTTTGCCGACCTATCGGGCTGATCAAAGCTAACCCGAGCGTTACCGTCGATGAAACGCTGACAGGCCGGCCGCGTTTTCGTAGTTTGCGGACGATGAGATTAAATCGACGCACACCTGCGTTTTAATTCGCGGCGGCAAATGGTCTCGTCAGCGATCCGTCAACGCCGAGTCTACAGCTGGCGCGTTCGCGTAAGCAGAGTGTTAATAATCTGTATCAAATGTGTTGAGGGGGGCTTTAAGCGTGTTTGGTAACCTTCGGTTAATGACGACATGTCGCCGCCGCAGTCGTCACGCACGCTGGATGAGAGGAATTCAACGATAAACTTTGATAGCCGGTGTCCACAGACCAGGCGTTTTTCATGGAATCGTTACATCGCATCCATGCCCCCTTTCACACTGGCTACTAGCTTGCTGTCTTTGTTGGTAAAACCAGTTTGGAGAACCTTGTCGAGCAGAAGGGTTTATAATTGGAAATATTCACCAGGTTTAACATGTACGATTATCGGAGCAGATCGGGGAAAAGAAATAACTATTAAAACACATTCATCACCGTTTTCTGAGGAGAACGAGAAGAGAAAATAAAAATCACTCAACACAGCACAAAATAATCGCTCATGATTATTTTTTCCAAGACATCCGATAACCCTTTTCTGTCCTTTTTCGGGAAGGTGGTAAAAAAAGCTCCAATTTGTCCCGATTATCAGTACCACACTTAGTCATTGGCTATTGTTTTGATCTCTCATAAGTATCCGCGACCTTAAGTCTTAAACTTGTTTCACATTGACGATTGTTAGCCCAGATGAGCAGATCAAGGAAGAAAAATCACTTCGAACACAACCCACACCACAGAATATTTGTTTCGCACCATCTTTTGTTGGGATGCTCCATACCGCTATTTTTCAGACAGATACAAATATGAGAATTCACTCTTTGTATACCCACCGGTACCAAGTTCCAATACCTCTTTTGATCAGGATGATTCGCCGATATGTCCAACTGCTGTAGTACAGTGTCAACTACTACCCGGGAGCACTTAGTCGATGTCAATTTTTTTTGTTTGTTTTAAGTATCGGTGGCTGGTATCAGCATCCTCCGGATTAGCCAATACCAATCCCTGATATCCGTACTCAACCCATCCCTGATATTTTGGAAAAATCCGACAATTGGCCCTTTCTCTGCCTTGGATTGCAAATGTGTTTAAAAAAATAAAAATTCAAATTCAGCCCAATTACGAATAAGTGTGTATCCTGCTTCAGACTTCTCCTAAAAAGTAGACGTGACATGAGTCGTTGCACATCAACACCAAAGCTGCTCCTGGTAAAGCGTCGTCACTCCCGAGTTGTCGGTTAGCAGGCGCTTGTTTATTCTGGAAGCCGCCGCCTTTTCGGATCTCGTTTGACGACTCTGCAGAGATAAGACCGGCGAGTATTTTTCATGTTTGAGCAGACGGCCTCTCGATTGAATTTCTGTCCATGGGACTGATTGAAACCTCAGACGGCAAAAGATGTTGCGACACGTTGGATCACGAAGAGCGTCTTTTCCCGCCCCGGCCGAGTGAACGCGACACTGACGATCTGATGAGAGACGGGGTTAGATTTGAGAGGAGGTCATGTGACTGGGAAGGGGATTGGAGTCGAGAGGGCGGGACCACCTGAAACCACTTTTACCTTTTACCTTACCTCTTCCCTGAACACAAAAGAAACCAGCTGATAAACCAGCAGCGAGATCGTTCCTCCACTGGGATGCGTTCTGCGTAGGACTCACACCCGCAACTGGATCCCCTCGGCTATGTTTGGGCCCGGGCAACTGGTCTCTGCTCTCCTCCCTGCGGTTTTCCATTCACCCGCAGCCCCGTTTTTCCCCACCTTCCCGGCCCGGCAGATCCTCATCCCGGCGGGGCCCTACATCAGCTACGAGTCGCTGAGGAGTTACCTGCAACCGGAGCCATGCAAGGAGGCGCTGTTGCTGGCCACGCAGGCCATCGGCATGGGTCCGCTGGTGGATGGCGTGGGTGAGTCCAACCGGTACCACGTATATGCTTCATGGAGCAGTGGTTTTCTACCTGGGGCCCCTGAGTAGCTTGGGGGCCTCCTAAATTAATATGTCTCTGACCAAAAATAAAAAAAGTTTGTGTGAAAATAAATTTCATACAAAACTATACAACCTTTTAATTGGCTGAATTAATTTAATTGGGCGATATTAGCAAGGTTAAAATTGGGGGGAAAAATTCCTTGTATTTCTTTTGTTACTTTTTTTTCCTCTAAAAAATACAAGAATTTACAATCAAATTAAAATTGTGAATTCGCAATAAAGATGATTTTAATGCAAAAATGTGCAACCTTTTAAATGGGCCTAACAGATTAATTTCATTGGCCAATATTTGCTCTTTTAAAATCGGCAAAGATCACCAATTTTCTTTCTGATTTTTGATTTTCACTTTTTAAATTTTTTTTTTTTTATACACATCACATACAAACACCCCCCCCCAACTGCTTGAATCATTAGTCAAATCTTTTGTCTGTAATTCATATTCTTAGTGTGGTGAGCATTAACGAACCAAAAAAAAAAAGTTATTTTATTTATTTAAAAAAAAATAGGGGGGTAAAAATCGACCTATTAATCGGTTATCAGAATTTTATTCCGCCAAATATCGGAATCAACAAATACATATCAGTCGGGCCCTGCTTTTTAATTTTTTGGGCCTTTAGGGTCGCACATGGTAATTGTTGAACTGCCGTGTGTGACAATCATGTGGCGGACTTCTCTATGGTGCTCCCTGAATCCAAAAAGTTTGAGTCCCAACGCTCTAGTGAATGTCAAATTGTACTAGATTGTCAATAAGACGTGAGCTTCGCGTGTAAATGTTGACAAAAGACCGGCTAATGGCTCGTGACGAACAATCAATTATGAAGCCGTGCCGAAGCAGACCTAATGATGGCAATGCTAATTAGCCAGTCTAGAGCCATTAGCTCCTTGTCGCCCGTTGGCGACTCCATTCATTTGCTTCTGTGCCATTTTTTTCCCCCCCTCCCCAGACGAACAGAGACCAGTGAAGCAGCGTCGCGCCCGCGCCAACTACAGCAGCTGGCAGCTAGAGCAGCTGGAGAAGGCCTTCGAGAGCACCCACTACCCCGACGTGTTCATGAGGGAGGCCTTGGCCCTCAGACTGGACCTCATTGAAGCCAGAGTGCAGGTCAGCCTGCGTTCGCTTCCTACTTCATGCCATGGCATCATTAAGTTTTAGGGCTGAACGATTTTAAAAGTAATAATTTATTGCGATTTTTTGTTGTTGTTTTTTCGCAATATAGCCAATCAATGTGCGATTACTTTTTCAAAGTCCTCTTCGCGTGTATTTTTTAACAAACAGTATTTTCACCCAAACGGCTGGACTGTTTGCTTGCTGATCCCTACGGAGTCCCAAAACCTCCTGTTTCATGAATTTAGCAGAAAAAAAAAAATGTCCTGCTCCATGAAAGATGTCAAACTACAACAGGAATGTACTTTTTTTTTTTGTAAATCTTTTGGTGGGGGTAAAGCTGCTATCGTGACTACAGATAGACATGTTTTATTTTTTGTTTTTTCAAAGAGCCCAATCACGGATATCTCGAGCCGATATTAATTTTCAGTAAAAGTGAAAATATTGGCGTTCAAAAAAACCCCAAAAACATTTTAAAAAGTACAAACTCCAAATCTTAAATTTGTTAAAATATCTTTATATGTTTATGAAACTATTTTTCAGATATACAAAATGTAGCTTTATTTTTATTTATTTATTATTATTTTTTTTTTTTGCAATAAACTTTTTTTTTTTTGTATTTAGAACCAAAAAAAAAAAATTCAGAGCTCCCACGGTCATCATGTCTTAAATAATTAAATGAAAACTTAGTGTAATGGTGTAGTCTGAAGAGAAAAATACACAAAGAATGGCCTATGGAAAACATAGTTTGCATGGAAACAATAAATGTACATTATTTAAAAAAAACAATGTCTTGACATACTGTCAGTGTCAAGCTCACATCGAGATTGATGTGTAAGATTACACACCTGCTAACTCACACTAGCCAAGACTAATATGGAGCTCAAGCAGCTGCAACATGATTCATTTCAAGCTCTGCGGTCCTTTTTGTTTATTTAGCGTGCTTGGATTGATCGCGACAGTGCCGTTTGATGACACTTGTGAGTTTTTTTTTTTTTTTTTTTTTAAGGTTAAGAAAGAAATACAATGAAAAACAGGTGGCAAAAGTAGTACTTCGGCGTCAAAATGGTTAGTTCTGCAAAGCTCTTTGTTACCGCCGCGGCTGTTGTGGAAGCGTAAATCAAGTTGAGCTGAGTGGAAACTAATGGTAAGTATGACAATAGTTTGTTGAAATTTTGTGTAGTTTTGTAGACTTTCTGAATATTTATCTATTCCTGAAAATGGAACAGGTGAAGTTTGACTTTTTTTTTTTTTTTACTACAACAGGAATGTACTTTTTTTTTTTGTAAATCTTTTGGTGGGGGTAAAGCTGCTATCGTGACTACAGATAGACATGTTTTATTTTTTGTTTTTTCAAAGAGCCCAATCACGGATATCTCGAGCCGATATTAATTTTCAGTAAAAGTGAAAATATTGGCGTTCAAAAAAACCCCAAAAACATTTTAAAAAGTACAAACTCCAAATCTTAAATTTGTTAAAATATCTTTATATGTTTATGAAACTATTTTTCAGATATACAAAATGTAGCTTTATTTTTATTTATTTATTATTATTATTTTTTTTTTGCAATAAACTTTTTTTTTTTTTATTTAGAACCAAAAAAAAAAAATTCAGAGCTCCCACGGTCATCATGTCTTAAATAATTAAATGAAAACTTAGTGTAATGGTGTAGTCTGAAGAGAAAAATACACAAAGAATGGCCTATGGAAAACATAGTTTGCATGGAAACAATAAATGTACATTATTTAAAAAAAACAATGTCTTGACATACTGTCAGTGTCAAGCTCACATCGAGATTGATGTGTAAGATTACACACCTGCTAACTCACACTAGCCAAGACTAATATGGAGCTCAAGCAATTTATCTATTCCTGAAAATGGAACAGGTGAAGTTTGACTTTTTTTTTTTTTTTACAGTAAATTGTATACATATTGTCTTAGTTTTTACATTTACATCTCAACTATAAAACGCATATAGGTTCAGAAAACTAGTGATTTTTTTTTCTCATTAGTTACAAGTAGAAGCTAACAAAAACAAAATACTGTATGGGCATTGCAGTGCTACTCAAGAAACAATCACATTTTTTAAAATAGTTCTAGGAGTAGAAATTAGCCGTCTATAAAACATTTTTTAATCCTTTTGTGTAATTGGAGTTTCACTTCTGGAATTGAAATCCTGTAATATATTTTTACTTACTTGGCAACATTTCGATGACTCTATATTCTAATTTATTGAGCTGTATCTTTATTTTCTGAATGTGTCTGAAGGTTTGGTTCCAAAACCGGCGTGCCAAGATGAGGCGTCAGCTGAAACTTCAGGGCAAGCGTGCTGGGCCCCATCCCAAAGCGGAATGCGGAGACGTCCCAGATAAAACAATCCATCATTTAAAACATCGCATGGACTCTTCTGACAGTGAGCACTGGCCGCGAGCTCAGGAAGACGACGACAACTACCCGTGGACAAAAGCCGCCGGTGCTGCGGCGGCGGGTCAGAGCTCGGAGCAGCTCCGCTCCAGCAGCATCGCCAAACTGAGGGCCAAAGCCAGAGAGCACGAGGCCGAGCTCAAAGGCGCCGTCAGCGTGTCGCCGGGCGTTGCGTCAGTCCAAACACCGGAGGTGGATGCCGTGCGTGATGATTGATCACTTCCCTGCTTCCTGTTTTTAACCATAGCACCATTACTGAGATAAACATCACGCTGTCAAAGTGCTGGAGAAACATTTCTCATAATTTGGACATTACCAATTCATTAGATAGGCCTGCACTCAAGAGCTGTATCAAAAATTCTGCCTTTAGGAAGAAAATGCTCATGTTTATGACCCAAAACAAAGGAGTACATCAGGTGGAAAAAGTGGAAAGTCTTAAGACTGGCACAAGTAAATCACTCGACCTGAACCCAATAGCGCATGCATGAAGAGGAGACTGACGAGAGAAACAACCAGAAACAAACAAGAACTGAAAGAGGCCGCAGCGAAGGCCTGGAAAAGCATTTCGAATTAAGAATGCGTCAGTCTGGTGAAGTCAGTGGGGCGCAGGCCTCAACGCAGTTATTGCAAGATTTGAAACCCGAATGTCTTCAGTATACATTCATTATAAAGGATACTTTTTGAAGGGTCTACAGCTGGCCCAGGCCTTGAGTTTGATACTCAAGTAAAACAAGTGCATGTTGACTGTAAATAGAACCACGTTGAGTTGTGTCTTGTGATCAAGGATGCCTCAAAATATGATGAAAGCACCTCCACTCGTTGGAACAAAATCAATCATTTGCCCTTTAAGGAGTCCAGATTTGAACTCAGCTACGTGACTCTTTTATAGTATTATTCTCTCTTGCTAACTCACTTTAACAAGGCGAGAGTGTGTGTGTCATCATCATTTGAAAAATAAACCAAACATTATCATAACATAATACAAGGTGTGTCACAAATGTTCGAGGAGACCGGTGTCACAAAAAATATATTTTCGACTCAGACTGCCAACCACAAGTTTATCGTCATCCAGCACGTATACAAGCTTTGTTCAGTGTTTGGGAAGAAGCCGAGGTTGTGAAACGACAACTTGTGACTGCTTCACCATGACAAGGCATCTGCTTACACTATGCTGAGCATCTGACACTTCCTGGCAAAGAAGAACACTGCCGTGCCAAAAAGCATCCCCGCTCACCTGATTTGGATCCGTGTGAGGAGAATCCTTTCAAAAATGCATGGACCACTCCGAGGATTACTTCGTAGGGCAAAATTTGTTTTAAGTTTGGGCTTGTGACACCAGTCGAGGAAATTTTCTGACACACCTCGTCTATGGTTTAAATTAATACCTTGGGAGTAATTCCTGTTTTCAATGTTCAAATGATGTTGGCAGTACCGTAATCTTCATGAACTAGTGTAGTAAAATACTGCACCCTACTGGACAACCTCATTGGCAGACAGTACAATACAGGTGGTCCTCAGTTCATGGGAGCAGTTCTGTTCCTACGGCAAATTTGAATGTGTGTTTAAAAAAAAAAAAAATGAAACGCAACATACTTTTTGTAAATGGGTGTCAAAAACTTCTCGAACGTCAAGTGATCAAATGAAAAACAAGTACGGCTTTGAGTCTTTCGTATGTGGGCATTTTCAGCAAGCCTTATTTGTATTTTTTTTTAAACTAAATTAATAAACAACGTACTTTACGTGTGACAGTATTTAGGGAAGTTCTCAAAGACTCAAGTTCAGCTCGCACTTATTACGTGCTCCCCTCATGTTACACAGCAGATAGTTATATGGGGTTAAATAAACTTCTATATGTTTGCAGACAGTATCGTGTGAACACATTTTTATCCTAAATGCACAATTCTCTTTTTTTTTATACTTGAATCCTAATCTGCAGTGTAAATCTTGGACATATGCGATAAGAACATTTGCACACAGGATTAAGAATTTATGTGCACAAGATGATAGAGTGGCCATCTTGTGTTGACAGGATATGAACACACTAATTAACATAGCGGACTCTTTATGCCTAGATAAAAATTAATAAAATACATAAAAGTTTCCATCAAACGAAAGTATGGATGTATTGATCTTGACTGTATTGCGTTTAACCTGTCACCATGCTAATTTAAATGACAAATATAACAGCATATTTGGAGTCTAGAAACCAAGCAAGTTAATTTAATTGAGTTAGTCAGCTAGTGTGCTATCAAGCTGATGCCAATGCTTCTTGTAGTAAACAATTCTGTTGCTTGAAATTTTGCAAGTGAACAAAAACAAAACAAATACGGCTAGCATGTTATCCAGACATATTTCACCACTCACTCAATACGTCCATTGTGTGTTTATTTAGCTATTCCACTGGTGAGTCTTCACAATTTTGCGCAATTGACTTGTGGCGAGTCAGCGGTTGCGCATCACTTGCGCAGAACGCTAATCCGCTGCTCAATTGTTTCAAGTTATTTCAACAGTCTACATACTTTTACAGTAGCCCGTTTTTTTTTTATATATATATTTGTATTTCGATATCCACAGGTGAGTCTCGAACAAATGCGAGAGAACCTTTTTTTTTTTCGTTCGTTCGCGCTGTCAACTTCGGCGGTTGCGCGTCATTTAGCGCAGAAACCCAAGCCAATGGCTCACTCGCCAACCAACAGGACGCAGCTGCGCCTCCCTACCCCGCTTCCACTCCCCCCTCTACCTGATATTTTTACACCTCTTTCCTACTTCGCTCACTGGTTCCAAACGTTAGCGAGCTCTTTGGGAGCATGTCTGCCATCCAGGCTCTGGAGCAGTGGTGCCGGTCTCAGTGTGACGGCTACCGGGACGTGAACATCACAAACATGACTACGTCGTTCCGGAGCGGACTGGCCTTCTGCGCGCTCATCCACAAACACAGACCCGACCTCATGTAAGTACTGGACACTCCTTACCAGATTTGATTTGTTATTTAAAAGTTTATGTCGCAACATCGATGCAAATTTGTTGTCTGTCAGACTGCAGAGCACACACAACTGTGGTATTGTTTTTGTTGTATTACATCATGAGTGATGCCTACATTCTATCCTATTGGTGGATCTCTGGTTAATTCTGTAACTTCTGCCATCTAGTGGAAGGCCATTTAATTGTTCCGCTTGTCACTATACGTCGACGGGATAGACAGATGAACAAAAATACGATATTTGGAGTAAATCAATCATTTCCGGACCACTTTTCTGTGGCACACCTTATATGTCGTGTTTCTCACAGTTATAAAAAGTTGCATTATGGGGCGAAATGATGCTTCTGTGTGGGTTTGTTTTGTGTTTGTACAGAGATTACGACTCTCTCCGCGTGGAGGACGTGTTTGACAACAACAAGCTGGTGAGACGTCATCTCGTTCGGCCCTTTAAAACTTGACGTGTGATGTCACGCCTCCAGCAATGTGCACCCGCTAGATAAAGGCAGCTGGAGGGAACTTCTTTCCTCTCAGGGGCCCCTTTTATTGCATTTGGGGGCTGCGACATGCCCGAAAACTCAACAAGAAAGCAACACCCAAAGATATATGCATTTAAAGCTCACTCAGTCGTGCCGTTGAAAAAAAAAAAAAACCCAAGTGACCAGTTTCACTGATCAACATGAAATTGGTTGCACATGTCTAGTGTAAGGGAACGCACAAAAAAGTCTCAAGGACCCATCCTCCAAAGTGAACACGACTAAAAACATTTTGCCGCCGTGTCTTGTCAATGACTGACAACCTCGTGGAAGTTGACTTCCTGCCACCAAGCTGCAAGCTCTCTGACCATTTGCACAGTCCTCCTGGTAAAGGAAACATGAGTATGGTAACGGACGCCGTTGTATATTTCATGACGGGTCGCCTTTCCTGCACTGTTGTTAGATAAGAAACAGTTTGGACAAAAGCAACCACTTGTCACAATCAGACTTCACATTTAAAAATCATGTCCATGTTGCTTCCTGTTGTATCCCCGAGGAAGTGAGCCATCAAGGTCTATTTAAAGCCGATTGTATTGTCGGACTGGTGACGCGGGCCTCCTGACTGTCAGTGTTTTCCTTCTGAAGGCTTTTCAGGTGGCCGAGGAGGAGTTGGGGATTCCAGCTCTGTTAGACGCAGAGGACATGGTGTCCTTAAGGATCCCCGACAGACTCAGCATTCTCACCTACGTCTCGCAGTATTACAACTACTTCAAAGCACGACCACACAGTGAGAATGTTTCATTTCATTTTCGAGCTTTTTAATCCCAGATGCAATATTTTAGCTATTTGCGTGCATTTGGTTCATTTTTTTTAAATCGGTCTCAAAAATAAGATAGAAAGGATATTTTTTTTCAAAGCAATTACAAATGGTTTTTATGCCTATGTTGTTTTAAAATGTTTTGACTTCTAAAATGATTATTAATTCAAATATTCATCCAAACAATCCATATTGCGTCAATCTTTTTTTTCTTACGCTTCGGTAGGAGTGAAACGTTCGGCGCAGAGCTCCAAGGAGTCCCCGTCAGAGAAGAAAAATCTCCCACTGGATCCCAAAGCCTCGCCAACCAAAACCGCCATCAAGAATCAGGCTCCTCCCCCTGTTCCCGGCCGGACATCTCCCAAGTTGGTCAAAGCTGCCGCTCAGGTTGGATCACGTCATTGGTTACACCTGAACGTCTCCTCCAGTTGTTATTGTGAAGTTTGCTTTCCAGAATCTGGACACCAGCAAAAGTGGATCCCTCAACAGCAAATGTGTGGCTTGCAAGAGTCACGTTCACCTGGTCCAACGACACTTTGTGGACGGCAAGCTCTTTCACAGGAGCTGTTTCATGTAAGAAACTTTTAAAACTAAATACCACCCGGGAAATAAAACCCCAAAACATCTCATCAAGTATCACCTTCATGGTCATCGTTAAAATACAGGAGCATAGTAGTCCTAAATGTTCATTGAAAGCAAGATGGCGGTTATATTCCTAAATGAATGTTTTTGGAACACTCTGCACAATTTGAATATTAACAGGAAACAATGGAATAAAAATATTGAAATCATTCAATTAAAATGTATTATACATTAAAGTTAAAGGGCAAGTCAAGTAAAAAAAAAAAAAAATCTTGACAATATGTAAAATGCGGCCCCACGAGTCTAAACACGGCATTCTAATAAATATTGCCTTCACCATTCCAGATGTTGCGAGTGTTCGGGTACGCTCCACGCGGGAGGCTACAAACCCGGAAAGAATCCCGACACTTTTGTTTGCCGCGTACACCCCGACAAGACTCCCAACCCTCCCGCCGAGGCTTGGCTCAAGCCGGCGTCCAGCTTGTTAGAAAGCGTCATCAGCATGCAACCGGCGGCGCCTTCTTCCAAACCCGTCCGTCTCGTCCCCCCGATTCAGTGCTGGACCACCTCGGCACAGAAGACTCAAGCGGCGCGACAGAACTTTCTCCAAGCGGCGCCCCCGCCGGCGCCTCCGGCACTCCCGCAATGGCCGCACATGGATGCGGGCAAAGCGGGGAAGAAAATGGCCGAGCAAAACTGCAACAATAACAACAAATGTCTGTTTACGATTCGCTCGGCAGAGAAACGGTGCACGTTGATTTCTTACCCTTTCTGCCCCCATTTCAACTTTTTAAAAGAATTGTTAACACTTTGAATTGTGAATTTTACTCTGCAGCTTTGGAGCAGAGTCCAGTCCAGGTGAAATTTCCACTCCGCCAAAAGTCGACTGCAGTAAAAGCCCAGCGAGAAATTCTCACCCTGAAGTGATCAAATGTAGCACCACGAGGTCGACGGCTCCCATAGGTGAGCAAATTCATCAAACTTTTTTTTTTTTTTTTGAGTCATACACCCAACCGGACCCCTCGTCTGCGCCTCATTCATCCAAAACAAGGCAACATTTGTCATACGTTGATTTTGTTTGACACGCTCACCAGTCAAGTGGCGGCCTCCGCTCTCAGAGACACTGGTGAGTCGTCCACTTGACTAAATAAATGCCGCACAAAAGGACGCTTTGCTACTTTCTCAGAATGCCACAGGGGGCCAGTAAATACCTTTTTTATGACTGTCATGGAACACCGTGTATTGCAGTAGGCTTGGCATCTGTCAAGATGAAGTCGTTTATTTGGATTAGATATTGAATTGTGGTCAGATAATTAAAACATTAGATTATGTAAATCAGGGAATGCTGCGGGGGGCACAATTTTTCATTCGTGCGACTGGCTAGCCACAGGACCACACACACACACACACACACACACACACGTCTTAACCAGATGTATGACAAAAATCATCATTTTAGATATGGACAAAATAAGTGCAAAATAGATGCTTTTAATATGTTTAATTTTCCAGAATACATTTCTGAATGCATGGATCAAATATCCACTATACTGTATTAACCCAACAACAACGAGTGTGAAGCACACAAAGTTTTGGAATCCATCCTCCATATTTTACCCTTTTCATGCACCCTTTAACCTGACAACCTGATCAGCTGTCCACCGTAGTAACCGCTGTCCCTGAAAAGGTTAATAATATTTGTCTAGTCTAAATAATAAAATGACATTTCCTAATCCTTTGTAATGATATTTTCAAATGCCCAAAGAAAGGCCTGCGCTCAACCGGCATGTCCCATTTTGCCGCCAGATCCTCCCAAGCCGAAATGTGTGGAAACCCGATCAGAGCCGCTAAGGTAAAGCCTATCAGTGTCACTAAGTGTCTTATTAGACCCGTCACTTTTGATCTTGTCTAATCTCACTGGCATCTCTAAACTGCGCTACCACCCCTCCCCCACATCCTCCCCCATCTTATCGTCCTCTTAACAGCAAGCCTTCTCATCCCTATCCTCCACTAATGACTCCAGTGTGACGTTTATCTGCACTGTTGCTTCTCAGCACTTCCAAATGACAAGCCGAGGCCTCTCTGTCTTCTTCCGTTGCACAGAAGAGCCGCAGAATCTGCCAGAAAAGAACATCAGCATGATTTCACGTCCACGGCGTTCTCCGGCGTCCCGACCGGTACCTCGAAGACTCCCCCCGCGACTCCAGTGACTCTACCACCTCCTCATCCTGTTTTTTTTTCACCAGCAGGCTACGTGCATCTTGGTGAGTTGCTCATTCAAATCAACGTAGTTCATAACATACGTTGGGAATGACACTTTGTTGATAAAAAAAAAAAAAAAAAAGGTGCATTGGAATCTTCCCCGGCACATTCCAGGCCTTTATTTGTTTGTGCTGAAAATCCCGTGAAAATTGAAATGAGTGCAGACCAATAAGACGTAAAGCTCGCCTTCCTCCTTCTTCCAGCCGATCCTCCCAGGAGGCGCTCGCCTGTTAAATCCTCCTCCAGATGGCAAGCCGCGGAGTCCATTAGCTCGCCGACCTCCAAAGGAGACGTCCCATCAGGTACGCCGCGTCACTTTGAACGCGCGCGTGCTTTAACCACCGTCGTTGTTGATGAAATGTGGCTTTTGGCACAAACCACGTCAGGTAGAGTCAGATGTGACAAAAGCTGCCGTCTAAATCCTATTTCATCTACCTCTTAGGCGCTAAAAAGGGAACGTATTTGTCGCCCACCAACGCCTCCGGCGCTGAAATGAGGTCACCCTCCGTAAGTTCCCTCCATTAAGTCTCTTAAGAGATTAATTAACAGTGAAAATTTGAATTTTTTTTTTTCTCCATTTAACTTATCAAGTCATTTTTTTTTCTTCTCAAATTATGAAAGGACTTGAATGGGCTTTGTTTTTATCCATTTAACTTATCAAGTCATTTTTCTTCCCTTAAATTATGAAAGGACTTGAATGGGCTTTGTTTTTATATCAGCGCACGTCTTATCACATCCCGGCGGAGCGGATTGAGAGCGAGCTGGACGACATCGAGACGAACCTGGCGCTGCTGGAGAAGGAAGGGGTGGAGCTGGAGAGGAAGCTTCGCCGCTGCGAGGAAGGTGCGCCCTCGTCTCCTCCTCCCTGTTTGGATGGAGGCGCTCCAGAAAAAAAGAGACATGTTACACTGTGGCATTTAACTCATTCAGTACAAGCTAATTCTGGACCAAGTCTGAAAAGACTTTTAAAATCGTCTTTGGGAGTGAATGAGTTAAAGGGAAACATAAGAAGGATTTTGTTACTTAGACATCGTCTCGTCTGGCTTCTCAGTATAGTCGAAGGCCCACATTTAACACGTTAAATGATAATCGAGGTTTGTTGGACTAGAGCGGCGGGAAAAAAAAAAATCACTCAGTAGCACCCCTTGTACGGTTAAAAAGTAAACAAAAAGCAGTTTCGCAGATTGATACGAAATTGGGTGGGCATGCACGGGACATCAATCAAAGTCTAAGGTTGCTTTAACAGCACTGCAACACTGATCGCCGTGTTCTTCGAGGGCTGATATTCAGCCTGCAATCTTTCGGAGTAGTGTCTGCATTGATGGAGCAACAGGTTTTGGTGGCTTCCAGAGGGCGATGGCGACCTCCTGATGGACCCGCTGATGGTCGACTGGTTCAAACTCATCCGAAAGAAACAAATGTTCATCAGGAAAGAGTCGGAACTTGTCTACACGTGAGTGTTTTTTTTGTTGTTGTTGTTTTTTTGCTTTGTGTTGTGAGCCGAAATTGAAGGCAGAGGAAGCAACGCACTTCAGATCATTTCCTTCAGACGGAGATGTTTTGTGACGTTTCAGAGCGAGGACTGAGGAGCTGGAGCGGCAGCAGCTGAACGTCGAGCGGGAACTCCGCAGGCTGCTGGAGAAGCCGGGTAAGACTTGACGTGGCGCTCCAACGTTTGCGCTTTCTGAGACGACTTTCTGCTTTGGGCGCGATAGATGGCGTCAAGTCGGCCGAGGAGCGAGTGCGCGAGAAGATGCTGCTGCGCAATCTGATGGAGATCGTGGACGGCAGGAACGCCATCGTGGAGGTCCTGGATGACGACCGCCTCAGGTGGGGGGATTAGTGTTGTGTTATGAGGGACCAAAAAAAAAGCTATTTTCCAACAGGGTTTTGTACATTCATAAAATACGTCCCTACACTTGTTGAAGAACTTCGTATTTTTTGCAGTCAGCTTCAAATCACCAATGAGGACATTTAATTTTTCAGTAGGAAAAAAAACAATTGTTTCGTTAAAGCAAATTTTTTTTGCCCATTTTCAGGGAATTGGTGGAGGACGAGCAACTGAACGCAATGATGGAAAATTTCGGTACATGTATAGTTTTTGATACAATCTTTCAATGTTATTTTTGCGTTTGATGGCCCATTTTTAGTTTGTATTATTTGTTTGTGTGTGTGTGTGTTTGTCTCTTTTTGCTCTCCGTAGGAGTAAAGAAAGGCAAACCTAAAAGGAAATCCTCCATTTCAAAACTATTTGGTCGAAGAAGTAAGCCACGGGTGGAATAATATTCCAAATGTTTGGAACATCGAGGTCATCGTGTGCATAAAGCGGGATACACACACAGATTTTAACATTTTAACCAAATTCATTGTCGCTGAATTTGCTTTTAAGATTGTGAAAATTGATTGATTTATAATACGTTGTAGAGTAACAATATAACAAATGAATTCATTCATTTTCAATCTCAGATGGCCACCGAGCGTCACATGACCACAGCTCAGAAAATAGTAGCGGACTTGCCGTGTTTGCTGCAATAACAACTACAGGTTAATGTGATCGTTTCTGGCACAAAACCAACAAATCGTCAACCCACAATTATGCTTGTTATCACAGGTAGATATGCTAGCAGTTATGCTAGGTATCGCAGCCTACTTTTGGGGTTGATGACATAATGGTGTCATGTCAGAAACAATGTCACCAACTCATAGTTCAGCTAGTTATGCTAGCTCTGACTGCTTGTTCTGCCAGCAGCTATGCTAGTATTTGTGGCCTAGCTATGGGCTGATGATATGATATGGTCTCATGTCAGACAATCAGGTAGTTTGTAGTTATGCTAGCTATTGAAGCTAGTTATGCCAGCAGTTATGCTAACTATCGCAGCGAATTATTCCCGCAACTACGGCTTGATGGTTACGTGTCAGAAGCCATCATGTTCAGTATTCTTGCAAAAAATATGTTGCTGTTGAATTCCACTTTCGCACTTGTTGCCTCTGACTGATTTCCAAGTATGTAGGGGAGGAAAAATCACTCTCACCACACCGCAAGATAATCGCTCAGGATAATTATTCCGAGACATTCCACAATCGTGCCTTTTCTGACTTTGATTGGAAGTGTCAAAAAAAAAAAAGCTAAAATTAGCCCCGATGACTGGCATGTGTGGGTTTGGATTACTGCGACAATGCAGCATGAACAATTTTGTAAAAACTTTGACATCGGCTGAGGTCTGGACTCCCTTGGTGCTCTTGTTTGTCTTCTTTTTTTGACTGCAATGTAAAAGACATCCAATTTTGGAAGCCATATTGTTGTCTTGATTATTCACACATTATTAGTTTGCTGTCACTTACTCATATTCCATGCACACACACACACACACACCTCCCCGGCATCCTATATTTATTCTTTCACGTCTATCTTTTGATAATAGCTTGTCACTCTGCGCTACCTGAATGAGTCATTAATCTTTTACCCAAAAAAAATGCAGCCAATCAGGTGGCGCGAGGTCAAAAGTAGGTCGTGGGCTGTCGAAATCATTCCTGGTGCATTATGTGCATATTAGACACACGTGTAATCCTTCCACAGTCTCCCAGCCAAATTGAAATTATTTCATTAATAATTTCAATAATGGATTTTAACAAATTTTCTGTAACGACATTAGCAGGGGAAGAAGACAGAGAGAGGGGCGGGGGAGGACGTGGGGGGGTTCTTGTTAATTAAGGAAGCCACACGTGTTGAGCAGGCTCCATTTTGTACTGTAGGTGGCAGCCTGGCTATGCTCTATCACACACACTCTTCTTAGACAGGCACACACACACACACACACACACACACACACACACACACACACACACACACACACACACACACACAGCCACCACTTGCAAAATCCAATTTGCCACACTTGCAGACAGTTAATTTCTTTGCTAATTTTATAAATGCTGCGGAGAAAGAAAAAAAAAAGGAGAGAGAGAGCAAGTTTGAGCCGTGCCGACGCAGTCGCGCTATATGAAAGAGGATTAGCTGCGGCGCTAGCTTATGGCGGCCAAGGCTTATAAACTATAGTGCGGCCTTATCACACCTCTGACGTGCTTTAATTAAACATTACCTCTGTACTAATATCAGCGCGGCGATTGTGCCGCACCTGA